ATGCCTAAGCATAAACTAGCAACTAAAAATACTATATTTTACGATTTGCTTAATTCTAAAAAAAAACACAATCTTAGCCGCAGCAAAACATAGTAAGTAAGATTTAGTTATAAAGGACTAACATAGGTTACTTTTTTTTTACTTTATCGAAATTTTCGCTAAAAAGTATATAGATTTCCATCATTTGTCTTGTTTCAGCTTTCATTAGAAATAAGGGCAATCCAATTTTACAAAATCTGTTCTCCTGAAAAATTGTCTAAATCATAGTTACTAGGTTTTGCCAAAGTACGGCAGACATCTTAACCAATGCTTATAATTTAAACAACAATTTTTACATAAAAGATTCATTTGATTTTAGTTCTTTCATTAATAATTTCCAATTACCACAAAATTATGTTTTAGTTAGTTTTGATGTAACATCTCTTTTTACTAATTTACCTTTAAATTTAATCATAAGTAGTGTTGAAAAACATTGGAATGAGATTTCGCAACATACTAATATTGACTTATTACATTTTAAAACACTCATCAACTTTGTTTTTGATTCTAATATTTTTATATTTAATGGTGTTTTTTATAAACAAATTTTTGGTAGCCCTATGGGATCTAGTCTTTCACCCATTCTAAGTAGCTATGTCATGGATGATGTTATTAGTGATTGTATCAATAATTGCACTTTTTTCATTCCATTTATCAAAAGATATGTAGATGATCTAGTTTTGGCACTTCCTAAACACAAAATTCTTGAAACAGTCAACATTTTCAACAATCATAATCAGCATATACAATTTACAGTTGAGGAAGAGGTAGAAAACTCTCTACCATTCCTTGACATAAGAATTGTAAGAAATACAGACAATATGTTGAAAACTAGATGATTCAGAAAACCCATATGTAGTAATAGATTTATAAGCTATTACTCTAATCATCCAAATAAAATGAAAATGAACCTTATAACAGGATTAAAGGAACGTGTTTTAAAACTTTCTCATCCAGACTACCTACAAGAAGATCTTCATTTGTTAAAAAATATTTTAATTGAAAACTCTTATCCTCCTGATATGCTACATAGGATGCTTTTTTCTAATTTATTAAATATAAATAACTTAACACCATTTTTTGCTAAATCTCAAAACACTGTATCCAACAATCAAAACATATATTATCATTCACTACCTTTTATACCATCATTAACTCCTAAATTAATACAAACATTAAAGGTTATTGACAATATAAAAATAGCAACAAAGAACATCAAAACTATTCATCTTTATATTCCAAAACTAAATATCCTATAGACAAATAAGATCAAACAAATGTAGTATACAGCATTGTTTGTACTCAGTGTGAAGCTGAGTATATTGGTGAGACTGGAAGAAATCTCTCAAATCGCATTATTTCTCACAAGAGTGATTGTAGAATTAAGAAACCATCTTGTGCTTTGGCAGAGCATGTAATAGACAAAGACCATATTATGGATTTTGATAATATTAAAATTTTATGTAATGAAAGTAATAAATTTAAAAGAACTTTTTTGGAAATGGTTTGTATTAGCAAAAGTGATAATAATTTAAACAAAAGGTCAGAAATTCAAAATTTAAGCAAAATTTATAATTATATAATTTCTATTTAATTTATGCAGTCAGTAAAATATCACATTTTGAATTTTCCATGTATTTGTTACATTTTTTCGGGCATCTATCAATGGTGAATAAATCTTCTTCTTTTTTGTTACTAAACAAAGAAGAATTTTTTAAACAAAATTTTATTTTTGACAATATGTCAAAAATAAAAATTTTTAAGTTAGTATTTATGACATTTTAGGCTGGTTGTAGCTATTCTATTTTTGTTTATAAATTCAATTTTTTTTCTTAAGAAACTTCATCTAAATTTTTCAGAGAAACATTTATTAGAATAAGACATTTTTTTATTAATATTTTTTGTATTTATTATGTAAGCAGTAGTTTTATATAAAAAACTAATTTTATTTGGTGAGTTAACAAAAAATTTTTTATTTCTAGTTCAACTTTGTAAGACATTTTGTATTTTTTAGAAGCTCTTGATAAAAATTGTAAACACAATTGAAAGCTCGAGTAAAAAATAGTCAACAAATAGCCCCTTTTATTGACTCCAACCCATCAAAAACAGTGTTATATTTATATACATATATATATATATATATATATATATATATATATATATATATAATATATATATATATATATATATATTATGAAATATTTTCAATTTTGCATCTAAAAATCAGTGGCTTAAATAAAAATCTAGATCAGTTGAAATTGAATTTAAATTGATTGAATTAATCAGATGACACTGAATTTTGATTGTATATGTCTAACTCTAACCTGGATGATTTCTGATGTATCATTAAATAGAAAATTTTAAAATTCTATACATAAATTAAAATGACGATGTCATCGGATATTTGAGAAATGATTGAAGATATACCTATAGAATTATAAGGATTTCTGTATGTAAAGCATTAGGGATAAATGTGATTGATCAATATAATAAAAACACATTATTAACTATAATCTAAAGACCATCATGAACTAAAGAAAATAACTGTGTTGGTTGTTCGATTATTTAAATACCACTAAAAGTTCAGCCTGTAAATAGCATGTAATTGTGGGAGATATTAATATTGTAAACGAGTTAGATTCTGCATCTATAACTATAATGTTGTATTCAATGTGGGCTCCGAATATTTTTAACATTAACAAAGTTTATTATAAGTTATAAATTGTGAATCTCAGTGATATATTGAAATAAACTGTAAGTGTACAAACTCTTTACATAATATCCAGTTAAATTAGTATTGCTAAGTCAGTGTGAATTTTTTTTAAAGTCCCAAGCAATTATCTTTAGTGCCTTAGAAAGCACCAAACTTCAAGACTACCTTCTCCCACTTGGAAATATAATTAATATTAAAAAAAATATAATCTTCTCTTCTAGATTATCTAATAATCGCATATGTATGTATTTATCCAATTAATAAATAGTGGATGATTTTATGAATAATCATGGTCAAATAGAAATACAAGGTGTAATTGTCAGAACAAGAAGGTTAGTTACACCAGCGGAACGACTTGGGCTCTCCAGCGTATCAATACCGCACGACTTGCTAATCAATGAGTTACAAAAAACTGGCAGAGTTCCTGTCTCCCCCATGATATTCCTCAAAATTACTGCTTCTATGCCTGAGTATAATCACATCCTTAGTTTTCGAAGACAAATCTATATCAATCCTCACAGTCTAACGCTACCAGAGTCATTTACTCTTGTTTTTGACAACACGATATATAGAATATTTATTTCTCAAGACAGTTTAGTTTGCTTTAGATGTAAAAAGCCAGGTCCCATTGCTTCACAGTGCTCCGAACCACTAACTCAACTAAAACCCAACCAAAACAATGAAGCATCGGTATCCAGCGCAGTACCCAATGACACAAACCCTTCTCAGTGTAAACAAATGTCTATTTCTAATATCCCGGAGATACCGGACAAAGTAAATGCATCAAATAAGGACAGTCACATAATTAATCAACCAAAACGTAACTATGATGAAATTATTTGACCTGAAGCAGATCCATCTTCAACAGAATGTAACATTTTCCACCACCTAAAGTCCAAGCAAAATAAAAAAAAGCTAAAATTAGTTCAGCAAGCAGTGTCTCTCTTACTTGACCCTGCTAAAAACTTAATAGAAAATTATCCTCTACCTTTCCCTCTAAACTTTGATCAACTTAACATGCTCCTAATGAATATCATGGATCAACAGATCCTATAACCACAATTCAAGAATATACCACAGGCCTATCAGCTTTGTTCCATATGCTCAGTCAAGTTTACCCCCATTGAAAGGAAAGATTCATAAAACGTAAATTCGCGTCCATAAGAAAAAAAAAATCAATAATTATCTTCAGTGATGTATCGGACGCGAAAAGTGGCACATCTCAATTAATCCAACATTAAACTTCAAGTCTCTACTTCAGTGGAATATTAATGGATTTTTTCCATCCCCTTGCTATGCTCCAACATCTAATTTTTGTTCAAAGCCAGCAAGCAAGTAAATATTGAAATCATCCCTTGTTGTCTAGTGCGTTTTGACTCTCTCAGCGCAGTCAAAGCTATGCAAAATGTATACTCTAAACCCCATTGAGAGAGTTATCAAAGCCGAATTAATGAAAACTTAAGAAAACTCGAAGAAGATACTAGTGCGCGTAACGCTATCACCAGTGACGCATCAGAAACAGAGTGTCGGACTGTCGCAGGCGATCTAAAAGTTTATTTCAAAAATAAGGTGTTAAGTGAGTGGAATCGGGAGTAAAATGACTCTAGTTCGAACCAGAACCATCAAAATTGACATTTTTTCATGAAAGTCCACAGTCAGAAGTAGAAGATGCCAAACTATTATTACACGTCTACGACTTGGACACTGGGTGTATCCTCACGCCCATCTCTTCTCAAATAGTGAACCACCAAAATGCGAAACATGTAATACAGTAGACTGTATAATGCACTTCTTGATAGATTGTCCTAAATATGTAAATCAAAGTCAGTTTTACAATTTGCCAAATAACCTGAAAGCACTCTTCAACAAAAGTTTAGTTCCGGACAATTTATTAGGTTACTTAAAATGTATAAATATGTTACACAAAATTTAACTTAATTAAGTGTTACAAATGTTCAATTGTTTACAAATTGTAATTAATTGTTACAATGATTGATTGTTACAAATGTTAAATTTAATATTATTACAAATGTTACAGGAATGTCGCTAATAACCTTTGGGTGGATGCGACTTTGTCTCTTCAAAATGAAAAAAAATATATTATAAACATGACACATATCACAATCGACGGTATAAGAGACGATTTTATTGTATATCTCTAATGTTTCTAAAGTTTTATAATATTGTTTTATTATTTAAAAACTAAAATTATATGAACAGATAAATAATATAAATGTACCTTTTAAAGGAGAATCAATTTTTCAACCTGGTCTTCCTTATCACGGTAAACTGAAGTTCACAGAAGTTAATGGTAATTTAACCAAAGAAGTTGTTGAAATTTGCTACAACATTGCAATTAAGAAAAGTTGGAACTATGTCAACTCCGAACAATGTTCAAACTTTAGCCTTAATCAGGATAACGAATTGAATTTTCAAGTCCTACCAATGACAAGGAATGTTATTCATATAAACTTTTATGTAAGTATACACTCTCGAGTATAACCAGTTAGGAAGTTGGATTGTTAAGTTATTTTTTACTCTTAGTATTTTTTTCAAGGTGTACTTAGTACGTACCAAATATGGAAGGGCAATATTAAATTAAATTAGAGGAATTAAATTATTAATAATCTCCTCATCGTGCACCCTTCCTTCGCGATTTATCTGCCAATGTGATAAATATCGACCTATAATAATATTGTATTAATAAACTGCTCGTCTATTCAAGTGAAACAACATATTTTCAAAAAAAAAAACTTGCGACATTTAAATCCACTCATTTAATAAAGTATTTGCTAATTTATTCTATGTGTCTATTATCTTGTCCGTTTTTGTTATTCTTGTTTTTATATCTATTATTACTTCCTGAGTTATTAGTTATCCCCCTTCAAAGTTTTGCGATCCAAATGAAAATTCTAATCCAAACCATATCAGCAGGTTCGCTAATCATGAATGCTGTCGCCTCCTACTAATCTTTTATGCTATTTTACGTTAATATTGGTCAAAGTAACACCATAGTATCTGTAACCTCTCAAGATGTGTGACCCGAGTGCTACATTTTTCTCTCTTTGAGGGTGTTCAATGGTTTTTATTTTTGTTTACTCATGCGCTGATGTATCTCCTCGGTATCCATAAAATTCGTAGACAGAGAAATCGTAAAATCTGACAATCCAAGTTTGAGCTTTAAAGTAAAGTCTGATGTTTACGCACAAATAGTCAAACAACCATAGAGGCGCATAGAAACCTTAAGATAGACTCTAAGCTAGTGTGAAAATACCAAGAAGAGCTCGATAGACGGGCTGAACATGACAATGTTACACTGGTATGAGAGGTCACCGAGGGATACACGGTAATGAAATAGCTGATGAAATTGCCAGGAAAGAAATAACGACAAAATAACTCGATCCAAAGCCGGTCATAGTGGTGTTCAAAATCCGGGGAAAAGCCGACAAAAAATAGGCACTATATCTTCTAATATTCCTAAAGTACTTACTGCGTGAGTCTAGTAGGAATTAGCACAAAGTGATAACAGGATTCCTTAATAAAAATGTGCAAGTTATTGGAGACCTAAGTATAATGGCGTTGGTTCATAGATACTTAAGCTGCAGACTGTGTAGTAGAAAGTCTCAAACAATCAACTTTATCTTGCCCAACTTGTGAATTATTAGACCGAAGACAAAAAACAATTTTCGGAGTCTACCGAGTGACTTCAAAAACATGTGGTACCCATCCTCTAGACCGGTATAATTCCAACAAGTTCCCTCTTTGTTTACAATTTAAATGTGGATATTCTTTTAACATGACACAAATATCTTCAGGTTGCAGTTTTTCGCCCTGTGATTTGGATAAACTTTTAATTGCACCAGTTTCATTAATATTTTTTACTAATGTAGGTACTGACAGTAGATCTTGTTATGGGTATATGTTAGAATATAAATTCGCATAGTACACAGACCAACGATAAAAAAAATTTTTAAACACCTTATTTTTATGGTTTTTTTAGAGTACTAAATCCAAATATGACACTACTAAGATCTATCACCTACTATATCGTTACATTTACCCTTCATTTTATTCAATTTTATAAATAGAATTTTAAAATAACTAGTAGTGGATGTAGAAGAGTTGGAAATACTGCTAAAACACATTTACTATCTATTCATAGCTGATCTTTTGTTTACTGTCAACCTAACCTCACTTTCTGGTTGCCGGTATATGTGCTCAGTAAAATGTCTGAACTGTTGACAGTTTTTGTTATATCTATTTAATTTAATAACTCCTGAAGACTTCTATTTCTATATCTGTATTTAAAAACAGTAACTGCAACAATTTGATCTATATTTTCTTAACTTTTTAGGCAAGGTCTGTTAACCATACAAATATCGAAGATAGTTTTTTGGTAATAAGATTATTTTCTACGAGTAACAATTATATCCAACTAAATCAAAATATATTGGAAATAAAAACAGATGACTGTAGAGCAGATCAAGAATTTCGAGTAATATTTACAGCAGACCAGTTTAAAGATAGAGAATATGTAACTTTTTATTATATGGTAAGTTTTCAAAATTCTCACAAATATAGTCATTATATTTGTATCCATTTAAAAGATTATTTCTATCCTTATTGTTTAACCTGGGATACCACATTTACCAATGGTCAAATAGAAACAACATCATCATCATCATCATTTGGCTCTACAACTCTGTGTAAGTTTTAGCCGCGTTTACTACTTCCCTCCATTGTTGTCAGTCTTGAGCAACTATTTCCCATTGCTGTATTCCCATTTTGCGTAGATCACTGGCTACTGCGTCCTTCTATATCTTTCTTGGGCAACCAACTGACCTTTTGCCATCGGGCCTTTCCCAGAATGTGGCGTTTAGGAGTCTTTCGTCACTCAATCTTAGCACGTGGCCCGCCCATCTTATTCGGTTTGCTTTAATGTAGCGTACTATGTTTTCATCTCCATATACTCTCTGGAGTTCATCATTGAACTGAAGAAAAAAAGTAACGTCATCCATTTTCCAAAGAAAAAGAAATTGCTGGAAGAGACTGGCTTGACGGCTTCCTTAAAAGAAATAGAACTATTCGATTAAGAAAACTGGAGGCGAAAAGTATTAACCGCATATCTGCTTTTAACACAACTGAAGTAAATCTATTTTTCTCTAATTTATTCATATTGGATAAATATAAATTTTCGGTAAGATTTTCGGAAAAATACTTGCTAAAAAGGGACAAATAAGAGTCGGCTTTATTACAAACGCAGACAGAGGTCAAACAACAACCATTTTATGCTGCATAAATGCCTCAGGAACATATATTCCACCTTTGATTATTTATGCCCGCAAAAGGATGAAACCAAAATTAAAATAGGCCACCTGGTGCAGTCTACTGCTGTTCGGGTAATGGGTGGATAAATGAGCAAATATTTCTCGAACGGCTCCAGCATTTTTACATTGTTGTAGCCACTGTACATTAGAGACATATAATTTCTGTAAAGAACGAGGAATTATTATATTAACCATACCCCGCACACATCGCATTGACTCCAATCGCTGGATGTAGCTTTTTGCTCATGGTTAAAATCAGCGTATAACATTGAATGTGACAATTATCTTCGAATTTATCCTCATGAGCATATCAAGACATTTGAAATAGGTGAAATATTTAAAAATTCATACGGTCACGTAGCCACATCAGTCAAATCCATTAAAGATTTTGAGAATACACGAATATTTCCATATAATCCTGAAAATTTTACCGATGAAGACTTTGCTCCAGGTGAATCATTCATATAAGAAAAAGATGAAAAGACACTGGACCAAGAGAAAAAAGTGGATTAGATAAGGAGAAGAATAATAAGGAAGTTAAGGGGAATAAAGAAAGTTGGACACATGACAAAAAATTTGAAATATTTTTTCTTGACATGAACAAGATTCCAAAATAATGACATCAACACCAATGAAGTTACTTCTAGAAGAAAAACACCGGAAGAAGGAAGAGTAAATGGGAAATAGAGCCAGCAAAGGAACAAAACGAAAAATAGGCATCGAAGAGTCCAGTCCTCCGAGAATAGTTCCAAAAATAAATTGTATAAGAACACAGAAGATCACAAAAGATATAAATTATCTGAAGATAAGGATGATGACGATCACCATGATAGAAACGTTAACGAAGATATTTGCGTAACTTGTGGCGAATTCGACAAAAACAGAGAACTCTGGATCCAATGCAGCATTTGCAGCTAATGGGCATACAAAGACTGTACCAGTTTCGAAGGCAAAATTAAAATTTGCGATTTCTGTGTATAATAATGGCAGTGGCACTTTTACCTCTCGGTAGTGGGTAAATATGGCCACCAGTAGAAGTCTGAAAAACGGTTTTAATTTCTGTCTTGTTCTGTTTAAAAATATTTCGTAAATAGAGTTTGAGGTATTAAGGTTTGAAGTTTTGTTTACGTTAACAGTACAATTTTTAAAGCTATGTAGCACTATAAATAAACCAAAAGACTTAGGCGGCCACTATTCTCCCCTTTCCCTTACGTTTTTTTTAATAATTGCTTATAAGCTTAAAATCACAGTATTTTTCATAGTTGCCAGATTTAGTACCTCTTGCTCAGCAGGTGCTGACAGATTGCGTTTGAAAGTAACAAAAACTGGCCTGCTGTAATATTAATAGTTGTATAGTTATTATGTAAATTAAAATTAAATTATTGAGGATGCTTTCATTGAAAATTATTGGACGATGAGTTTCGTTCCATCCCATTAAAAATAATACAAAATGTAGTCTACATGCTGCACGTTTGATTTTACGTATATTTTATACAAAACAAAATCAAACTAAAACAAATCAAAAGATAAAAATTACGTATATCAGCAATTAAAATTGTCCTCCTAGTAACCACTAATAGCTAGATATTTAAAAAAAAAGAATGGAAAAATAACAAATTTTGTGTTTCAGATAAAAAGTGGATCGCATATTTACAAATTACAGAAAATTTATCACAGAGTTAACAGAGCTATTCCAAACTATTTTGATAAGTTAGAGAATATTATAGGAAGTAAACATAGATTTTCGAAACTAGGAACCCATACTGACAACTTTACTGTTAAATTTCAACTGGATAAAGGAATAACGTCCGCCTATCAGTTTTTGGTATATTATGTATCCAAAACAGGTGAGACTATTGCGGCAAGTAAAGTGATTCAAGTTGAACCCTGCCTTATGAAGGTAATGCATGTACTTTATAATAAGTAAAATTTATTTATATTTCTTGAAAAAAAAATTAAAATTAATTATAAAGATAAAGTTTTAAATTATTAAATCGTGTTCCAGTTTAAGGAAGGAGTCATTTGCTCAGTGGCGGCCGGTCAGGGTCGACAGTGCCGACATACACCTTTATAGATATTATAGATTTCTTAATATTTAAAAAATAATCAGATAAAATTTAATCAGTATTTCGATAATTAATTATAGCAGGTAATAAGTTGATGTCATTTGTTTCTGGGAAATAAAAAAAGTGTCTGTGAGATAATAAAGACTAAATTTTATTCATGGATTTTAAAAGTATACGACCAGACTAAATTTTATTTATGGTTTTTTAAAAGAATAACGCTTCAACCTGAGCGTTAATTGATCTCTGCGTAAGACACTTTTCAAATTAATGATCCGAAATCGGAGACACCCATCCGCCTGTGTGAATTTTTAAAAAGACACGTTTCGGAGTTTCGGCAAGCCGATCCCAAGTTTGACGATTTACATGTAAAAATCAACGGAATATTAGTTGATGAGCAACCAAACATACATTTCTCTTAATACGCATTTAATTGCAAAGTACGGCAAATTTAAATTTGCCGATACTTCATTTGGATTGGCCACAAACTGTACCTTGCAAGCGCGTGATTAAATATTATTTCGGGATGGATAAGTACTTAAGAACTTAACTAGTTAAGTGATATTGAGTGCACGGACTGGCTTTTCTTTCTGAAATTTATTTTTATTTTCTACAGTAATACTGTCATACGTTACCACTGCCGTAAATAGTTAAAGGTTAAAGGGTTTCTTGATATATTAGAAGTTTTTTTTTTAATTAAAGTGTAAACAAATTCAGGTAAAACAACCTAAAAAATACATGCTGTGGGAGAAACTGTAAGTACTAATAAATCTGATATTGTTAATTATATTTTGCAAAATGGGTTTTCATCTATTCAATACGAAGAACAAATCGCTATTAAAATTAGGGAATTAAGGGAAGTAATAGATCATTTTCAGATAATTGGTACGGCAAGTACTCATGGTTTACCGGGAGTAAAATAAAAAACAAACTTTTCTGTTGGCCTTGCATTTTAATATCGACAAATAGAGGCAAACTTCAAAATTTGTGGTGTGAATCTGGTTACGATAATTTAAAGGAATTATTTAAGGCTTTACAGAAACATGTTATATCGAAAGATACAGTCAGATTAAATTAGATTTATTTGGAAAACAAAATATCTGTTTTATTGGATAATGCCCAACGTGAAAATTCTAAACGAAATTGTAAAAAATAATCACGCAGTTTTACGTCGTTTAATTGATATTGCAATTTTTTTTAAGTTGTCAGGAAATATCATTTAGGGTACACGATAAATCGGAGCATTCTTTAGGAATTAAGAGAATTAATAGGAGAATTCTCTAAGGTAATTATAGAGAACTAATAGAAATGTTTAAAAAATATGATTTGGAATTTTCTTATTTACTTTCTGATTAGAAGACATTTAGATATTTATTTAAAACAATCCAGAACAAATGAATAGAATCAATTAGTTACATTTTGGGAAACGTTACTGAATCTCAGATTCAAGAAACCATTTGCTTTTCACTAGAATTAGATGAATCTACCGAGTGAATTGAATGGTCTCCAGGCAAAAGTTAAAACTATTGCACCGCAAGCTTTATTTACTCAGCGGATACACTTTAAGCGGATTTGCTTCATTTTTCTTAACCCTGCTGTACCGTTCGAGTAAACTACACAAATGTACTGTTCGGGTCAATATGACCCAACTATGATTTACGCTCCCTAATAGAAATAAAATAAGCTAATGGTGCTAAACAAAACTGTATTAATAAAAAATTATAGTTAATTAAACAATAATTATATTGTTACTGTAAATTAAACCTTATTAACAAAAATAAAAAGCATTTTTTCTTTCCCAGAAAACCCTAAGAACAAATATCTACAAAATTTAATTCAGTTTACAACTGGGACAGTAATAGAAAGAATGGGTTTTACAAATATGTTTATGACATATACAACATAAAATATTAGTCTTGTTATCCCTTTTAGAGCAAAATTTACAGCGTGCTCGTTTAGCAGGCGGAGTTGGATGGTCCATAGACGGTTCACTAGAATTTCCATCTTCTCTACTCGCTTCTGCTCGTGTTCTTTTTACCAGTTCTTGTGAGTCTTTAGTTCTCGGTAAATTTTTCCTGGAAAGGATAAGTGGTTTCACCAGTGTTTTTCCCAACTCCTCAAGAAAAATTCGTCGTTTTGTAAGTTTATTGGTATTCCATTGGGGATTTATCGATGTCCATAAAACGAACGCGTTGTAGGCAGAAATGTCCAGCATATTGTAAAAAACAATCATGGGCCAGCGATTTGTCTTCCTCTTACATGTATATGTACCAACAAGCTGATCTAGAGTATCCACTGCCCCCTTACTGGAATTGTAATCTAAAATAATTTGGGGCTTCTTGTCATTTCTGTCACTAATAGCCTTTTCATGATGCAAAGTACTCATAAGAATAACATTTTTATTCTTTTTAGGAATATAGTTAACAACAGTGGTATCTTGTGTGAAGTAAAAAGACGAACTATGAACTTCTTTATTCGCAATTTGTGCTGGAAGCTCTCGTTTATTTTTTCTTATAGTCCTCAGCATTGTATTTTTTCTTTTTAGAAGAAGTTGTCCTAAATTGTACGATGTAAAAAAGTTATCACATGTAATATTGTGGCCTTTCAAATCACTACTCAAGTCGCACACCACACGCATTCCCTGATTTCGTTCTGGCGCGGCACCTGCTTCCTTTCCTGTATAGATCTGCAATTTTAGAGCATAAGAACTTTTACTGTCACATAAGGCCCAAATTTTTATGCCATATTTCGCTGGCTTGCTTGGAATGTACTGTTTGAATGGACAGCGGCCTCTAAAGGCAACTAATTGCTCGTCGACGGTAACATTTTCATCAGGGTTAAAAAATTTTGGTAGATTTTCAACCCATTTTTCCCAAATTTCACGTATTGCAGCAAGTTTATCAGTACGTCTCCTATCCTGTCTAGTAGTCTTGTTATCAAAACGTATTACTTGCGAAATTTTTGTAAATACTTCAAGGGACATTGTTGCTCGAAATATACTACGACCCGTTTCTTCATTCCACAAACTTTTAGTTGATTCACCATGGGACTTAAAAACTCCAGCTAACAATAACAGACCAATGTATGCTTGAAAACCAATTTTATCTAAGTCTTTCCAGTTGTTTCCAAAAACACGCTGTCCTTCCATGTTGGTCATATTTATAATTTGGTTTGCAACTATGTCAGAAAAGAGTGCGTCAAATGAATTTTTAATATCGAAAATTCGTGCACATGCGTACCTTGTAACTCCTGGAGCATTATTTATAACATTGGCCGTAGAAAAACGACCGCGTTGATAAGGAGGATCGAGCGACCATTGGATAGTATCGTCTTTTGAAGGAACCGTTACAGAAGGTTCTACAGGATGTTGTACGTAGAATGGAACACCAAAGGATTCATCACTACTTTCTTCCTCACTCTCACTACTTGTATTGTTTTCTGTTTCTGATATGCACTCATCACTCTCTGACACGTTCGCGAGCTCGCGAAGCTCATCTTCGGTTAGCGCTCTACGGTGCGACATTATCAACATGCAAACATAGACTGAAATTTGAAATATAAACGAATAAATGAATGCGCTTGGCCTTGGAATATTAGTGTTTTACCACTTGTCTATCACCCCCACTTCCTTTTACGTGACATGCCATTCTACCTGACATCGTCCAGCTACACTACACATATTTTACAAGTTCTAGCTTGTAGAAACTTGTTTTTATTTATAGACGTACCTGACTGACAAACACTATTAGAAAATATAAAATACTACCAACTAAACATACCTATACAGGTAATTTTTAACGGTTTAAATAAGTGGGTCATATTGACCCGAGCGTACCATAGGTAACAATTTAATTTTTATCAAAAAAATGAGCAAGTTGATTTTTTATCTTTTATGCAATTGAAAGACCTCATATTAAGTAATAAAGTCACGAAACACCAAAACGTTACGCCGCGTAATAATTTGTAAAATAAGAAATAATTTTTTTTTTGGTCAAATAGACCCGAACAGGACAGCAGGGTTTCTTAAGCTCGCCTAAACGGGCTACGATACTCCGTATCGAAACAAAATCTTTTTCCCGTCGTAGACCATAGTCAAATTTCGCCTCCTTCTCTCTGTGAGCCTTTTTTTAAGAGAAAAAGTTCACTGTTAATATTAACGGTTTGAACTGTTTAATGAAAATATTTCATTAATTTGCTACTGTTATAATGTTGTAATGTTATTCTGAACATTTTTTAAATACTTTTAAACATTTAAAGTTATAATGATTTTTATATGAAAATCACATTTTTCTACCATGTATACAAAGTTTGATATCCTCTAATGTAATTTGAATAAAAGTTTAAATTCTTAAGTAACTTATTAATCACACACAGCTTAATTGTTTACTGTATAAAGTTGATTTTTATGTTACACAAAGTGCTGTCAAAATTGGCGTTTAACGGGCATTCTAATACAGTTAAATACAGTTAAAGTCAGAAAACTGCAATATCAGTGACATGTTATGAGGGGGGAGCGTTATAACTTATTTCAATTAATAATGCAAGGAAGAATACAGGGTAGAAGGAGTAGCGGAAGAAGACGCATCTCCTGGTTGAAACAATTTGAGAGCTTGGTTTAACTGCACTTCTGCTGACCTCTTTAGAGCAGCGGCGTCAAAAGTGCGAATTGCATGATGGTTGCCAACCTTCTTAAAGGAGATGGCATGTGAAGAAGAAGAAAAAGGCATCCTAAATTTTTGCCTAATTCCTCTATTTTAAAATGGGACACCCTGTATGTGATTCATTATGTTAGAAGAATGCGTGTCTCACTATCGATCTGTATTAGTATTTTTTCTATGCCTATCTCTTGCAGTTTTTAAATAAACCTTATTTGTCATATTTGTAAAAACAGTTATTTATCAAGTAGCCTATTGAATATTCTGGCAAATATAATTTATTGTTATTGTTGAATAGTAACTTTTGTTGTGGGCCTTTAATAGTAACTTTTTTCGCTTGGAGAAATATTCGCTATGATGACATGTGTGGAATTAACGTTTTTACATAGTTGATAACATTATCTCCTGTTGTGTGTTCCTTTCCTAAACTTTTAACCCTATAAATGTGTTTTAGATAATAGCTCGATGGAACCAGAAGCAGGTTGTCCCTGGTGCTACGGCTCAATTAAACATTAAGACTTCATCACAGTCGCTTTGTTCTATATCAGCTATAGACAAATCGAGTACCTTTTTAGATTCAAATAACCAGTCGTCAATGTTAGGTTTGGCTTTGAAATCATTCTATCCCGAAGATAGAGGTTTTTTAAACACTACAAGAAAAATATGTGTAGTTAGAGAACGACGAAGGAAAAGTAAGTTATAAATGTTTTTAACTCATTTTAAGTTTATAATTTATTTTACCAATGATGAGGAGATACGCTTTTTTTGTACAGATTATTTAAAGTACATTACTATATTCTGGTGTTTTCCTTTAATGTGTTATGCAATGTTGCCCTTGTATCCTCGTTATTCTTAGAAAAGTTAAAATTTTGAGAAAATTTACAGAAACTAAAAATTAGTTAATTAAAAATACCAACAAATAGTAAAAATAATGCGTAATAAAAAAAGCGGAGACATAAATATAGTAATGGGTGACTTCAAAGCCGAAATAGGAAAAGGCAAAATCGAGAAAACATATACGAGAACATGGGCTGGAGAAAGGCACAGAAGAAGCGTCAATTTATTCTTTATTTTCCTTATTCCAATTCACTAAAACACAATAATTTATATTAATTTATTATACAACTTATTCAATACCACAATTTATTTTCGACGAACCCACTTTAAATAAGAATGTCGCATATATATATATATATATATATATATATATATATATAATATATATATATATATATATATATATATATATATTATTGTTGTACTTTTGAATGTCCATAAGCAATAAAAAACCGATATACAAATTTTATTACTTAAATAAAAATTAAAATTATTGATATTTCATAAAGACACGGGCATATAAATTTTCAAACATCCTGTATAAGACAAAATATGTATTTTAAGTTGTTCGAAGAATTGTTCATTAGGCCTCAGAGACAAGACTTTCAAATATTATCGATAAGAAATTTAAATAAGTCGGTTATTGTGGAATGGATTTACCCGTAATAAAAGTGTATATAGAAAGTGTTTAAACAATAGACCGGGATGTGCGGTGGTTTTTCCCCCCGAAAGATTATATCGGTAAAAGTTTATTAACAAAAGACATTGAATTGAGAAACAGGTATCGTTTGTAGCTATTAGTAAGAAATATTTGTAAAGCAGATAGATTTAGTTAGAATAATTAAAGAATGTTGTTTTCTGGAATTACCCGAATGACGTTTTATAGAGAGAGTTGGTTGGTAACGATATACGTCACAGAGGTAGAAGATTTTTATTGGTCAATTTTTGAATGCAAGGAGGGAGTGGTTTTGGCTATGAGATAGGAGAGAGGAAAGGGGTTAGTCAGTTTTCGTCGCCCAAGAAGGAAGGAGCTTTGAGGTTTGTGTTTGTTTGAAGTCCCGAAGACGAAATTTACCGGGTGTGTTTATTTGCTGTGTAAAAGCTGATCAGTGTGAGGAACGGGGTACAGAGAGATAGAAAAACCAAAGGGTATAAGAATATTAATATCAGACGAAGCCGGAAACATTTGAAGTTATAAACAGGCGCGGAGATTGGTTCAAAAGGAGGCTGCATAGAATTACACGAGTTGTTGGGTTGCAGATACAAGGACAGATAGGAGAAAGGTGTACGTCTTCTGGACCACAATAGGAGCAGAAGCAGAGAAAGGTTTTTTTTTTCATGACGTGGCCATAGAATTGCAACGGCAGATAACGAAAGGTCAGTCAATTTTCATTAGAGCAGGAGTGTGGTTTTCATTTATTAATTAAATAAATTGAATAAATAATAGAGACAGTTAATTTTGCGATCATTTAAAGAAAAAAATTATAAAGAAGCTTAGTTATAACACATATAAAAAATCAATGTAAAATAACATTTGGGTCCATGATAGAAAACAACTTCTCATATATTTAAAGTATTATATTGCAAATATTACAGGATTGATTGTTATATAAAATTTCATTAAAATAAAGGACATCTCACATATACTTCAGTTGAAATTCTGTGTATTTTATTCAGGTCATATTACCTATCCCAATTAGGAAGCCAATTGGAAAATATTTTGAATCCACGATCAAAGGTAAATAGTACAAGTTAAATAGCCTGAGATTGTAATTAATTAATGCTGATTTATTGTGATTAATTGGAGATTAGATCATTTAATAAATATAGACAGGATCTTTTCTAAATAAGCAATAGAATACAATTTAAATAGCATAACAAAATGGCCCCCAACGTGTAAAGCTTTGAAAAATATTTCTAGTTGGCAAATTTGAAAGGATAGGAGTAGACGAGCAGATATTTGAAAGTTTATATGCCGTGGATAAAGTGAAATATTATGTAAAAATTGAGGACATAAAGATTTATATATTTTTTTAAGATACAATTTACCATAATTGATTTATTCGTGATATTGACAATTTATAGGTTACCATAATTGATTTATTTGTGTGATATTTACATTTGATAATTTTACCATACTTGATTTATTTGATTGATTTTGACATTTGATATTTTGCCATTTGATTTATTTGTGGGATATTGAAATTTGATACTCGTACTCAAGAGTTATTACATTTGAACAAGAAAAGTCCCGTTTGTTGCAACAGACCAGTAGAATTTTATATTTGGCGGGGATAAAAACAGAATAAATGCCAAACACAAGAAACAAGAGCAAAGAGAACAAAAAACAAGAAGATAAATCAGAACAGGAAGAATATTCAGACCAGGAAGACGTATTAGACACAACAGTAATGGAGACAGAAAAACAAGAATCGGGAATAGAAAAATTAATACAGATGATGCAACTCCAATCACAGAAGATGGATGAATCACAACAAAGAACGGAACAAATGATGCAACTCCAATCACAGAAGATGGATGAATCACTACAAAGAACGGAACAAAAATTGGACAAATTGGAAGAAAACCAAAGAAAAATGGAACAAAAAATGGAAACGCGTATGGACAAATATGAAAACGAAATAAAAGTCTGTTTAGAAAGAAGTAGGGAAGAAACAGAGAGGAAACTAGAATTGCAGAGAGAAGAAACCGAAACTAAAATGAAGGATATTCAGAGTATGCAAGAAAGGGAATTAGAACAGATAGAAATAAAATTTGAAAATGCGCTACAAGAAGACCGGAAAGAAAGGAAAGGAGATTTAAACAAATTGCAGAGATGGAGATAAGAGGAATAGAAAGAAAGGAAGTTATCGTACATAGCACAGAAGACGTAAAAGTACGATTTGGCGGGGATATAAGGAAACTACACCCAGTGCCTTTTATAAATATCCTAAAGGAAAAAGTCAAATACATAGGACCGTTTGCAACAGCAAAGGAAACCATCAGAAACCATCTCAAAGAAGAGGCAAATCTTTGGTTTGTCAGCAAGGAAGAAGAATTTGACAATTGGCAAGATTTTGAGAGAAGATTCTTAAATTATTTCTGGGGAAAAATCCAGCAACTACAAGTAAATAAAGAGTTACAAAATGGAAAATACCATGAGAGGATGGGCGTATCAGAAAAGATGTACGCATTACAACTCTATAATAATGCAAAACATTTGCAATATAATTATTCATCAGAACAATTAGTAGAGTTGATATCGCGACACTTTGAAGATACCTTGGAAGACCACATAAATCTCCAAAATTACAAGGACATTGACAGCTTATGTCAATTTTTGCAAATGAGAGAATCACGTAGGCATGAAAGAAGAGAAAGAAGACCGCAAGAAAATTATAGACAAAGAGAAAACCAAGAATATAGAGATAGAGGTCAAAATTTTAGAAGAGATTATACAAGACGAGAATTCATACCTAGACAGGGATACGAAAATAGACCGAACGGAAGAGAGAATTATGAACCCAGAACCCAGAGATGGAATGAAAACAGGGATCGGGAAAATCAGAGTAGAAATAACCGCCCATACCAAGGAAACAGATACAATAACCCACGGAATGAACAGGAATCTCGCGGTAACCGATACGGGAATGATAGACCAAAAGAGAACAGAAGAGAAATAAATAATATGCAAAGAGAAGAAAATGAATATGAGAGAGAAGATGACGGGCGAGAAAACACAGAAGAACAACAGGCGTTTTTTCAAGAAGGCGCTCACTAAAAACGAAGAAACAAACAGGAATTTTTTGTCACCCCAAGGAATTTATTAAACTGGCAGGAAACAATGAAAAGAGAAATGGAGTTAATTTAAAATTTGTGGATGGATTTATAAATGAGAAACCAATTAAAATTATGATAGACACAGGCTCTGAAATAACACTGGTCAACAGAAAATTAATCGAAGAAGTAAATTTAACAAGTCTAATTTATAAAATACCTAGGGTGAATTTAGTGGGCGCAAATAAACGGACATTGGCAACAATAAATGAAGGTATACGAGTAATGGTACGATTGAAAAAAAATATGTATGCACTTCAATGTGTAATAATGCCGAATATGTCACATGACATGATTGTAGGCGTTGACGAATTAACGGAAAAACATGTAGTGATCGACTTCAAAACCAATACGATGAAAATAACAAAGGAAAAAGAAGAAGAACAGGATAAGGAACAAGAGAAACAAATTACGGACGAATCAGAGAAAGAACAAACGGTGGAAATGAACCTGGTGACGAAGAAAGGAAAAGGAAGAAAGAGGGGAAAAGGTCAGAAAAAGATCAAAGAAAAAAAAACCTGGGATTCCTCAAAAGATGAGACGAGCTCAGGAGAAGAAGATGGGAAGATTTTGACAAGAAATGAAAGCAAAACTTGGGATTCCCCAAAAGAAGAGACGAGCCCAACAGAAGAAGAAACAAAGGAAATGAAAGAAAAGGAAAAGGATTCAGTTGAAAAGAACATATGGGATTCCTCAAAAGAAGAGACGAGCCCAACAGAAAAAAAAACAAAGGAAAATGAAGAGGACACAATGGAGACAGTGGTGTTTGAAGAAGACACGGAGTACACGGTGAATATGTGCGAAGAATTTGATGGGAGAGACAAAAAATTGATATGTGGAGAAGGCAAAGAAAATGATTTGCGTCTAATTTTAAGAGACTACGAAACGCTGATAAATGAGGAAAACCGAGTGGCCACAAAATACGAGCACTCATTTGAGGTGAAAAACTTGGGAAATTTTCGATCGAAGACTTATCCAATTCCTTATAAGTATCGGCAAGAAGTAAAGCAAGAAATCA